CGCCGGCGAGGGCCTCTCCGCGCCCGCGGCCATGCCCCGGAGCGGCGCGAGGGAGCGCCACGCGGCCGCCCGTCTCCGGGGCTCGCCGGCCGAGGCGCGCTGAAGCCGGCCGGCCCTCCGCTCCGGGCGCGGGGCAGCGCCGGGCGCCGCTTGCCGGGGAGGCGGCCGTCCAACCGCCGCTCGCGACGCGCAGAGCGAGAGACGCGCAGGGAAGGCGCGCCGCGTCGGGGCGCGCGCGATCCCGGCGGCGCGACCCGAGGACACCCACCTTCTCCTGCGCTCCGCGGCGGGACGAGCGAGCCCCGTCCGGCGGCGAGCGAGCGGGAGCGCCGAACTTCCCCGGCTGGAATTGCCCGACCGCCGAGAGCGCCGCCGCGGGCTTGCCGGCCCCTGCAAACATTTCGAGGCTGCGTTTTCGCGGCGCCCGCTCCGGAGCCTCCGCGAGAAAAACTTTCGGGAGCTAAAAATACCTTCGGTGGTTTCAGACTCTCTCTCGCCCCCTTCTGAGCCCCCCCTCACTTCTCCCCAATCCCCCCCCCCGTCTCTTTTCTTCCCCCCCCCCCCCCCCGGGGACTTGTGTTTGCGCTCCACAAAGAAATGATTTGAACTTCCCACTGCCTCGTAAAAAAAGGAGGAAAAGGAAACGGAATTGCAGCTTTGACATATGGATGTGATTTTTCAGCCGTGGGACAGATGTGCCAGCAGGCGCTGAGCCGCCCGGGTCTGAGTCTCCGTCCGGATCGGGGCGCTGCCGGCAGCCCTTGCATGGGCTTTCCTTTGCTGGAGATCGCGACCCCTTCCCCCGGGGGCTCCGCTTTTACACCGTTTTAGGGTTCCAGCCATGCAGGCGCAAGGCAAGGATTTGGGCTCGCTCGCCTGCTGCCTTTAGGGTTAACCCGCCTCGCCCCCCTCCCAGTGGGAGCGGACAGTCCAAGCAGCGAGAGGATTGCCTGCCGGAGTTGTTCACCTGTCCACGGAGGGGCCTTGGATGCTGCAAAGCGCTCCTCTTGGCTATGGGATCCTACCTGATTTATCACAGTCTGGGGCTGCTCGTTTGCTGCTCCGTCCTAAGTTCAGTCTACGCACTGGTAAGTCACACACGGCTCTGTTGCACTTCCTACATCCAGGGCCATTTCCACGCTGAGGAATAACACGGAAATGTCAGGATTTCGCACCACTTTTTTATGTGATCTGCTGGGTCGTGTTGGTTGATCTCGGTGGGGAATGTAACCCGGCTTTGGTGATTTTGGCTGTGAAATAACAGAACTGGTATTTTGCTGCAAACAAGTCACGTTGCATATTCTCTTCCTCCCTTTGCTTTAAAAAAGGCAAAACAGGATCCTGCAAATTTTGTGCTGCCTTTCCTCCCCTTCGTTCTTGCTCCTTGCAGCCAAGTGGCTTTTCTCTCCTGGGTGATGCAGGAGCTGGTGCAACTCAAGAGCTTGCACTGGCCTGTTTGGCTGAAGTTTTCCAATAACTGTGATATTGCCGCAAATGTTATCGTATTTCTTATTCCAGAAGCGGCACGGCATCTGTATTGATAATAAGAAAGAATGCTTCAGTACAGGTCTCAGTGGAATGCAGATTACTCATTGTCAACCCTGTTCTAATGATATCTTTAAGAAACCCCACGAAATCTAATATTGGTCGTAATCTTGAGATCCAGCAAGCATTGTTCCTTGTAAGACATGCTGAAAGATTGTAATGTTTAGGATTTTCTTCCATCCAGAGCAAAACGCACTGCAGAAAAGCAAGATTAGGGTCAGTGTATATTTGGGTGTTTGGCTTTTAGGCACCCATTGGGATGGGTTCGGGTTCGGGTTTAACACACTCGACCTTTCGCATTAATTTTAGCATCTGCAGCATTAAAAAGAGGACTCTCTGATCCCTTTTGATAGCCATCCTGTGAGCTGCCCGTGTGTAGGTTCATCGGATCAATGTAGGGGGCTTGACCCCAAATTTCACCAGCACTGCATATATTAGACAGTATGACGGGACTTTGGTGCCGAATAAATTTCAGGATTGTTTAGTGGGGCTGCAGAAGGCCAAGAGTCAGGGTTCACTGGGTCCCAGAGGAACTTCCTCTTGGATGAATAGTCACAGGTGCAGAAAACTGACTTTGGAAGGGAACATGACAACATCGGAGGCACATGCCTTGCACGCAGAGCAAGGGCGAGCACCTCAAGGGACGGAGGAATGGGGAAAAGTCTCCTCTTACATACGGCTTCATGGGCAGGGTGGTGTCGAGGTTAAGAGAGTTGGACTGGGACTCGGGGCATCCAAGGTCTCATCTCCACTTGGCCATGAAATTCGCCGGGGGACTTTGGACCGGGCATGGATGCTCAGGCTAGCCTACCTCACAGGGCTGTCGTTGGGAGGAGAAAACGGAACCTCGTAGGCTGCGTTGGGCTCCTCACAAGAGGAAGAAAAGCAGGTTGTCAATAGCCGTGCTGGCAGACTCCAGTCTAGATTCACCCCCTTTGGACCTTCCCTGTAAAGCAACGAGGAGGATGGTTGCCACCCGTTTCTGTGGCTCCACGGCGCTGCTTGGCCGCTTCCCCTGCTCTGCCTTCTTTCTGAGGCACCTTTGATGAGCTGGCGGGCAAGCGCCAAACTCCAGTTTGTCCTGTGGGAGTCACGGTTGCGTTCAGGCCCCCCCCCCCAGCATGAAACAGGCCTGCTTCGTTGCATCTTGTGCAAACCGGTGGCTGAAGACCATGTCTGTGTGGACCTTTTTTAGCAGACTGGAAACCTCTCAGTGTCCTCTCTTTTCCTGTTACTCCCTCCAGTAACGGAGCAGTTCTGGAAGGTGATGGTTTCAAAAGCGCATTCAGTCAGGCCTTGACAATGAGACAAATTTCCCGCCGCAGTGTTGGCCCTATCAAGCTTCGTGGTTGTGCTGCTACCTTTGGAACTCTCTGCTTCGGGGTGCATGGTTCCCCCAGTCATGTGATTCACCCCCTCTGGACACCCTCCCCCCCAAAAAATCCCTTTTGTGGAGGCTTTGATTGGATCACGGTAAAAAACTGCTCCAAAATGTAGTGACTTGCTGAAGGACAGCTCAGCCTCTGTTTGTGTTCTGATAGTGGCAGAAATCTTTCTTTCATGCAGTACCTGGTGATGTCGTACAAGGTGCTTGGATGTCATCTGTGCGAGCTGCCTAGAGAGCCCATAAATTTTTTTAAAAAAGCTCTCTTTAAAATTACAGCCTGTTTCCCTGCTGAAACATCGCCAGGAGACAGTTTTGTCAACCCTTTCCTAGAAGTGCTCCTTGAAAAGAGTTGTCTGACGCTCTGTTTTTTTGGTCCCTGTCTGAGCGCAGTTTCCGTGGGCTTTAATGCCTTCCTTTTTATCTCATCGCTTTGCAGCTGATCACTCCCAATGAGAATATCCTGAGTATTAAGAGTATTCGTCAACATTTAAGAAATTCTGGCTTTTGATAGTAGCATATGCACAACTAAAGCATCAGTTTAAACTGTTTATTCCCCTCCTCTCTTAATTTTGGAACCTTTTCGGGTAGCTTTCTCAGGCGCTTTGTTTGCTGCCATGAAAGAGCACGAAACATCTCAGAATTAGAAAAAATTACGCTGGGTCCAATAAAATGTGACCCAGGTCTCATCTCAAAGCTTGACTCGATTATTTAGTAATGCATATATTTTGACGTAAGGAATGCGAGAAATTTCCTAAATATTTCACCCATCCTTGCTAAAAAGAATAAAAAGCCCATCTACAATAAAACTCCAATGGCTGTCTGGACTTCTGTGACTCTGCAGATGAGCAGTGCTCTCTGCAGACCCCGTTCCTGGGAAATCTCAGGGATCCTTTTGAAACAACCGCATCTTGTTTGCGGTTGTTGCATGACATCCAGGGGCCTGCAACCTGTGGCAACCCTGTGAAGAGCTCCCTGCAAGCTGTCCTGCTTAGTTCTTCTAAATCCAAGACTCCTTCTGGGAGCCCGTCCATCTCTTCTTTGGCTCCCTCTTTTCCTTCTCCCTTTGACTCTCCACGTATGATGGTCTTCTCCACAGAGCCCTGTCTTCTCAGGATGTGCCCAGTTCCTTTAGATTCCTAACCGATGTGGTCCCAGCTACAGTTGGGAGAGCTGCTGACCCCACCTGAAATTGTCCCCATCTTTTGGAATCGTGGCCTCTGAGAGCAAAGAGTGGCCAGGTGTGGAGGCGGGTCATGTAAGGTGAGGCAGGCATGCGGTGATTAACGTTGCGGGAGACGCAATCTTAACCACGGAGCCCAGGACAGGGAGAGGATGAGGCTGAATGGAGATCTCCTTGATGTTCCTGGCACAGGGAACGGGAGAGCAGGGTTGGACCAAGAGAGGTTACTGCCCTCAAGCGACGGGTCCCAGGGGACCTCCAAGGCCCCTTGGAGCGTTGCAGACTTTGTGGGATGCAACACTCGGGTTGTCTACGGCTCAGTCGCACCCCCAGAGCTTTTGCAGCTGCCTGGTTTGCTTTTCCATTGGGCCAGTCTGGTGGCAGAATCGGTGACCGCGGAGATGGTGAGATCATTAACTCTCTCTGGAGCCAAAATGGTCATCTGCGGCGTTAAAAAACCGGAAATCATAGCGATCGATCCTGCCGCCTTTGATGTTTATCTAGGATTGTCTCTGCTCTCCTCTCACTAAAAGGGAATGGGTGCCTTCCTCTGGCCTTCTGTATGGTTGAGTTACTCATAAGTAAGCCGTATATCTTATAGCCTGTCTTCCCAAGTCATTGCCCCATTGCATGGTTGTGCCTCGATCCTGAGGAGCAGCACGGAACAGCTCCAGAACACCCAGGTGGCTCCATCTGAACTGCGGCTCCGGTTTGGGATCCGTGTGTTTCTTAGCACATAGGGAGTTTAACTCTGGGTATGGTTTCTGTGCAGTACCCATGGCTGCACCACACAGGGAAAAATTCTCCTTGTATGCCGTTGGCATCGCTGAAATTCGGGGTTTAACGGCAATGCTCCAGGTACGTGACAGTGATGCTGTGAGCGTACAGATGCCCGGGAACCCTTTGGTCCCCTGAATGCACAGAGTCATGCAGTTGCAAAGCATTTGTGGCTTCTGGGTGTGGGGTTTGACTATGCCGTAAGTCCTCGCTGGATTAGCACGTGTGACCTCTCTAGAAAGTTGCATGGCGTTTTTACAGATACAGAAAATGGCAATGCACATCTGTAATAGACAACAATACCTGCAGCTACAAGTCAGCCCAAAAGATTATATTCCATGGCTGTGGATAACATCCTACATTCTCATAAACATAAACCTGTTTATGAATTCCTACCCTTTTCTCTCTCCAGTAGTAAATCCATTTAGGCTGGTATGTTATGCATGCTTACTGGGAGTTGATTTCAGTGGGACTTGCTTCTGAACGGACATGGAAAAGATTGCACTGTACATAAGTAAAGTGTTTGTTTTCATCATCTGGGCAGTATTCTAGTTTCTTCTTTATTCTCAAACTGCATCCAAATGCATTCAGACAGAAATCAATAAGCTGTTGCTAATTCTGGAACCTGCCACCTCTCTCTCTCTCTCTCTCATTCACTCTCTTTCTTTGTTGGAATATACCTGTTATCTACTTGATCTGCTTCAAGGTTTTTCACAGTGTGTGCATCTGCTGTAGATACCCTCCTGTTCTCACAGCTTTATTAACACCTTCACCTTCATTTGCAAGCAGTGCCAATGTATAGAAGCATTCTAAACCTCTCCGTCAAATCGTTATTTTTTTCTTTTGCACAACATCTTAGGGTTTATTTGTTCATTTCAAGAGATATTAGAGAGAGAAGGTGGGGTGGAAGAGAGAGAAGATTGTCTAATCCATTTGAAGAACAGCAGATTCTATTTTTAAGGTATTGGGATGTATGTTTTGTTTTTGCTTTGGCTTTTTGGGGTTTTTTGGAATAATTTCTTGCAGTAGGTATAGTTTTCTTTATTATAGACATACCTTGTATTGAATAGGATGTGCTTTATTTCAAGAATAATAAACCGGGCCTTTGTCCACCAATGGCTTTCAAGTGGTGAATATCATAAATAGAAATCCATGCAAGATGTAAAACAGCATAAGAATCAACATCATTTTAAGGAGTA